TGTGTGTGTGTGTGTGTGTGTGTGTGTGTGTGTGTGTGTGTGTGTGTGTGTGAATGGTTGTTTGTCCTGTTTGTCTCTGTGTTGCCCTGATAGGCACCAGCACCCCTTGCAACCCCAGCTGGGATAAGTGTGATGGAAAATGGATGGATAAAAACACAGGCAACCATGATATGGAAAGAATCCTGTCCAAGCTATTAAGTTGGCACAATCTACATCTAATTGTTTGCAAACGATAAACTAGATGGTTGTTAGATAAAACATTGAAGCTAAAAGCTAGATCCATATATATATATACACACTCATATACATAAAGAGGAATAGGAAGAGAAATTTTCACTAGGAAAAATCTTCTCTTCTTTTAATTTGCAATGCACTCTGAGCAGGGCAGAGGGAAACCCTCATCAAAATTACACACTAGCTCATCATTACTGGTTGTTAGGAAACTAAATCTGATGCAAACTTTTCAGGCTGCAGTATGAATTCAGTGAGTCTGCAAAGGTGGGATTGATTATATCAACTCATTTTGAAATGGTGAAGAATGATGAATGTTTAATTTGGACTAAATAGTGGTAGTCTTGTATCAGTCAAAACTTTTAAATCTTTTTTGTTTTTAAATGTTTTTAAAACAAAAAGACCTTTTTAAAACAACAATTTCAGGAAAATAATACGTTATAATGTTCAGTTTTCACTCCTTCCGAAACACTTTCATTTGCCTAAGGTATTATTTATTCTGATCACTATAAGGTTAAAATTGCATTTTAGACAATTAATCCACAGATAATTAACCAGGTAAGGATGATGTGAAAAAGTAGAGGGCTAATTACTTTCACCTCACTATCGGCTTTTTGTCCCTTGAGGGGTTCCAGACAATATTATAAAACGTTCCTAAAAAAATTAGGCTCCTAAGGTTTCTTCCTTTTCCCAACAGTTTTTTTGGCGAGCAATAAAACTAAAAGCTTCATTTTCCACTTAGAGTTGTATAACTTTAATGCTTTTATGCAGTGACAATACTGCAGTGACTCATGTCTGCAACAAAATTCAGTCCTCAAGCATATAGATGTTGCTGAACCACAGTTTTACTATAGAAGATCCTGAATCTTGGCCATCCTTGTCTCATTAGCACTGCTGTTTAGAAAAGGAACCAATGTGCATTTTAATTTTCTACCAGCAATTAATTATTAACTAGGAAGTGGATTGATGTCTCTTAAGTAAAAAGGTAATATCTGAGGCAGCCATTGTTCCCTGCTTTGAAAGAAAACAGAGATCTGATGTTTGAGTACAGTCTGAACTGTTAGAGGAATTTATCCACCAAGTCTGTGACCTGAATAGATGTCAAATGAATGATGATAATACAAACACAGAAATTGTTCAGCTTAGATAAAGCATACCGATTGTCCCACAAAGCAGTGACTTAATTTATCCCATGATTCATTTAAAGATGCTTAATCATTTCTGTTTGGATGCTTGTTTGGTTTCTACATCCATCTTTCTACTTTAAAGGCTGGATGACTCCTCCTCTTCTGTCCCTCGGCACAATGAGGTAGGCATTCTTGAATCAAAGTACTAGCCAGGCACATGGTGTTGTTACCTAACTCACAATGTAGCATGAGAGCCCTGTGACTGAGGAGTAGCGAGCACTTTCTGTTTATAAAACGGGTGTTTTTCCCTGTCTGAGTCTAATGATTAACACTTTATTAACGGTTTGTTTTGTTTAGAGACTTCACAATACATTCTATTTATTGTTTTGTTTTTGTTTATTTTATTTAAATTGCATTTTTTGTTGGGCAAAAAGAATTAGAATCCAGCTTTTTTAATTTTTTTTATTTTGGATATTCATAACATTTTGCAGTTTCAGCTTTAAATGTTCTTTGACATTAAAGTTTATTGATATTTGAGAGAATGTAGTTGCATTTTTATGCCATTATTGTTATATTAAATTAAAATGGTCTAATAACAAAACAACAATATGCCAATAATAATTATTATCCTTTAGTGAAAATATTTCTGGGACAATTTATTGTTCAACAAAATCTGCTATCGTTTCAAGCCTGAATGTTCTCCATCTATATTCTATAAATTCTATATCTACAATGCTCAGCAGCATCGTCATTCTCTTTCACACTTGGAATACGAACACCAGCCTGTAAACTCAAAACTTTTATATATCTAAATTCACCATTCATTGAATTAAAAGACACCAAACTGCTGTATTATCTGATCTGTGCAACAGCAAGGCTCCATGGTGTGAATACAGTTAACGCCTGAAAATCTCTAAGGCATTTAAGATATCGGGTGTTTCAAAAGTTAAGTGAAAGTTATCAGAAACAGATAATTAGAAACATCAAATATTTTCAATGGTATTTTCAGTATAGGTTTCATACTGAATAGGTTTTTTTTTTTTATACTTTTAAACTATTAACCCTTATCTGATACATACCATGAGACATTTTGAACTACAGTAACAGCCAATCATAATTCCCAGTCAAACACCAGCTATATGGTGGCCCACTCCCCTGCGACTTCCAAGCAAAATCCCCTCCTTCTCCTGGGCGTGCACATTTTTTACCCTGACTCCACCCTTTCACTGAATTACAGGGTCTGACCAGGAGATGAAGCTTCTCTTTAGATCTTAATGTCCACAAATCCTGACAGAAAGAATTTTTTAGAACAAAGATTGATGCATTGATGAACTGTAGAGGACCAGCCAAGGATCCATCAAGGAAAGTGGGGAAATTTTGAATGGCTGCTACTGTTTTTGCTGTCATGTTGAAGGAGGGAATCTAAACTCTCTAGAACATCAACAACCGGACTGATGTTTTTATCATGCTAATCACTAATATCTGGTCCAGAACGCAACTTTGGTCTTTGTTTTTGAAATATGAATGATCCCGTTTTACATCGAATGTCTCATTAGAGACCATGTGTGGTTAGAAAGATAGAAGACAATAAAATGTTGCTCATTTCTTCCCACCTTAGGGTTCTTAAAGGGAAATCCTTAACTAAGAAAATGTTTAACTACTCTGACTAGAAGATGTTAGTTAATAAGTGTTGGTCCTGCAATGTTTGGAAATGAAGTGCTAAAGAAAAGAGCTAGAAAAGCAGGAAGGTTGTTCTGTTCATAACAAATCATGCATCTTCAAAAAAAGGGGAGGATTGCAATTGGCAGATAGTTTTACAAATGTTCATGAAGATCGAGTCAAAGATTGCAACCTTAACAAGGGACTTTGAAGCACTTGGTGTTTGACTCACCAACACTCTGTTCTCTGTCTTGTCTCCTTTGATCTCCAATTTGACTCTTTTTCTTAGCGACAACTTCACTTTCCTCCCCACTGCGTCCCTCACACTCTCTGCAAAGAGAAAAGGAGAATATGAGAAGAGACTCATCAGGAATGTCTGTCACATGGTAAAAAGAGAAAAGAATTTCATATTTCTGCTAATTGAAAAACATTTATTTCATGAAAAATTAATCAAATCCAATTTTATTGGACTGCTGGATGGCCAGTTTTAAGTAATCTCCATTTAATTTCCCCTCACTGTGTGGCTCAATTTAATTCAGTTCCTCTTATATCTTTGTGTGGCTGTTAGTGAATGACTAAGGCATCCCCAAAGTCAGTCCTCGAGGCCCGCTGTCCTGCAGGTTTTAGAGGTTTTCTCGCTCCCGCACAGCTGATTTTAATTGAAAGCTGATTAACAGGCCTTTGCTCAACTGCAATCACCATAATCAGCTGTGCTAAAGCAGGGAAACCACTAAAACCTGTAAGAGGACCGACTTTAGGGATGCCTACCGTATGTAGGTAGGATATAGGTAGTCAGAACAACTTTAACAGCATTAACACATACAACTATTGAGTCATACTGCTTTGGAAATTCATAATGACGCCAATGCTAACAAATAGGCACACAATACTATATGTTGAACAATTATGTTTTTTGTAAATTCATTATAAACACTCAGTTGGATTGTAAAACAGCCAGACAGCTGGTTTAAAATGTATAACTGGATCAGCCACCTAATCCCACAACTCAATAATTTGACTCCTAACGTTAGAGCTGACTAAGAGTCGCGGCACATGCCTGACAGGGACAGCCTTTCTGAGAGCGTACATCTGTGCTGGCATGCCCGTATCCCCGCCTCCAGGCTTCCTCCCACCATCATCAGATCAAAGCAACACTAATAATTAGGTAGAAGGCAAGAATGGTTCATCTGCCTGACTGAAGCTTCAAAAAATAAACATCAGCAGAAATGTTCATCGCAATCATCAACTGAACTGCCACAAGAGGAGAGGAAAGAGAAGATTTTCTTTATAATTTAGGGACATTTTGGGACTTCCCTGAGTTAACAAGGCTGGGCAGATAGGGATGGCAGGCATAAGGTCTCTAACAGGATGTCATGTGTGGTTTCCTTTCCAATATAGATCTAAAAAAAAGACAAATCATTTCAAAACAAAAAATATATTAACAAAAAACTACCAAATAATTATATAAGGTTTTAATAAACTATTAAAAGACTAATTAACAATTTAAATTCGATTCAGTTTATTTATACAGCGCTAATTCACAACAAATGTCATCTCAACGCACTTTACAGTTCACCAGATTATACAGTCAAATTGAGTTTTCTATCTAAGGAAAACGAGTTGATTGCATTGACTCATTGACTCGGATGCAATCCCTCACGTGAATCCCTCACTTCACGCCATGCTTGTAGCGACAGTGGAGAGGAAAAACTCCCCTTTAACAGGAAGAAACCTCCAGCAGAACCAGGCTCGGTGTGAGCTGCCATCTGCTGAGGCCGATTGGGGTTCAAGGAGACAGAAGCAGAGACACAAAAAGCAGCTGTAAAAGTCCAGGAAACACAAAGCCAGGTAAATGAGCTCTGAGCCAACTCCCATGTCAGAGGATGAAGAGAGCACATCCAGCCAGTCACAGTCAGAGAAACAGGACTACACTGGATTAACACACCTACTAATTCATCATCTTACGGACAGATTTGTAAGATTTAAAGGTTTTACCTGCTCACCTTAGCAAAGAAGGGCCAAAATTGTAGGTTTTTAGAAATTTATTATCATAACCTACCCTGACATAAGGTTTGGAAAAACTATTTGACAACTTCACAATTACCTGGATCGGAAATCAGCTCCAATATTGACCAATTAGCCGGTTCGGATATCAGTTATATCCAATCAAGTGCATTTTACATGGAGCTGTTTTTTTTTTTTTCTTTTTTTGTGCTGCTTATTTGTTAATAAATTATATATAGTACATTTATATCTGTTCATTTGTTACCCTTTTTAACATTTATATCAAGGCTAAAGCCCTCACTCAGAGGGTAAAATATATATTCATCCATTCAACAGTTGAATGGAATCAGTATTGGATATCAGCCAATATGCTCAGCCCAGATATCGTATCAGAATAAACTGGACCGGTGCTTCTCTAATTCAAAAGACAGCTTTCAATTAATGGTTTAATTCCTGAAGGGAAAAAGGTGTGACCAAAGCACCTGGTCTTACTGTACGTGAAACTGTAATTGTTTTCTGAAATGGTTGTTCTGTTGCTGGCAGCAATAATAGTCACTGAGATTTTTCTTTTTTTTTTTTTGATAGTGTCCAGTTTAGCCAATACAAATCTGGGAATTAATTTCCCCAGATCTCATTGAGAGCCCAAAGCTTTGCTTTCGCAAGCAGACCAGTATGGCTGTTCCCATGAGGTTCTGTTTGATATTGGTGTATTTAACTTTATTGAACATTTGGGGAGTAAAATTGTATACAACAGATACAGAAAGGGAGGTTAGAAAGAAAGAGAGGATAAGAATTCAGTCACTGATATTTGTCCTGAATGGCAACTGATGTCTTTTAACCAACTAGGAAGGTTGGCCGACTCCTCCTGCAGAATTGTTTTTAATTCATCCACATTAGAGGGTTCTTGTCGGATCATTGGTCTAACTTTGACTCGTTGACTCCAAAATATAAAGAGGCAGATATGGTTCAGATTAGGGCTGGGTAAAAAAAAAAAAGATCGATTTAATCGATTTTGGATTGATTCCTTTACATTTTTGCAAAATTGATGTCTAGGGAATGAGATCGATTAGTTTTATAGTGACGCACGTGACGTTCACATTCAAATGCCGACGCAAGTAACACACCGCTCAGCAAGCTCTCCCAACTGAAATCTGATGTCTGGAACCATTTTGGATTTAAAACGGCTAAAGATAATGTGCTGGTCCTGGATATGTGACATTAAGGTGGCTTCCCTCTACACTGATGATGAGTAGAGCCTCGCATCTCCTGCTACAGACCACCGCGATGACATTAAGCCAGACAGCTGCAAATATAGCCAATAGGTTGAGTGAAGACATTAACAAATGGGGGCTGACCAGCAAACACCCTGTAGTTGTTACAGACAACGTTGCAAATATGGTTTGTACAGTGGAGATCATGCAGCTCATGCATGTCAGCTGTGTTCCCGCTGTGCCACGTCTGCTTGCTCGAGTGAGGCTTCACTTTTTCACTTTTCGCAAACAATTTTGCACTTTTGAGACAGTTTTGTACACATCTCAAGATTAAACTGTCTGATTTACAATTTTGCACTTGGTGTTAAATATGACAGGAAAAAATAAACAGTTGAACCACTTTCATTATTGTAAAAACAGAGAATCGAAATGATTCGATTTAGAATAGTATGAATCAAAATCGAACAAAACAAAGAACAAAACAGGAAACGTTTAAAGAAGCAAATATGATAATCTAATTTCTGTAACTTAAAGTTAAAGACATGTTTTTTTGTTTTGTTTTTTACATATTATAACATATATAAGCTAAACTCTCATCAAATGCTTGACAATCATTTCTACAAACCAGCCTTACAGAATCTTGTCTCCACAATAAACTTTGGAAGCTGGGCATACGAGGACAAATGAGATAAAATAGTTTCTTCATTGCTAAAACAATACAACAGTGTCCCCGTTATCTCAGTTAGATACAGCATGATGATACAAACAGCATTAAGTCAGCTTAAATCATTCCTGTACAATCAACTCTGAAGATATTCTTCTCTCCTAAAAACAGAGAGCTAGAAACATATAATATCCATTTGTTTTAAAAATAGAGTAGAAAAATATTTTTTTAACATAAACACACCTTCTGAGAACTTTATTGCTCCATTAAAAGCTTTAAGATAAATGCTATTTAAACAAACAGCTAGTAATGCGAGCGCTATAAGAGGATCTCAAAAAGTTATGATCCATTTGGGCTAAAACTATGGATTTGAAATTATGCATTTGGTTCGCTCAGCAGCATTTCTCCATGCTGAGAGCGATGACGTGTGATGGAGAACCACAATCAACAAACAATGGGTATATTTCTGCAGATAACACCTCGTGACGTGACTTTTTTGATTTCCTATTACATACACAGAACTGGGTCAAAAGAAAAAAAATCAACAAGGAGTTGGAGAAATCCCAACAATGAGAGATGAAGTTGCAAATATTTGATGCAAAAAAGTGAATTAATGAAAGATTGGAAAAGAATTTGAAAGAAACATTGACGATATTTTGGCATTCTTGCAAATAAACTGCACATGTCCATAAGGTTTTAATCTCTAATGAGGACATTTTAATCAAATTCAATCTTTTATTTACAAATTACAAGTGTTGAACTCTTATATAACTATCACCAACTTACTGTTCTCATCCAGCTGATGTGGTGTACACTCCTTGGCTTTATAGAGATGCACTGATCCATTCAAAAACTAGTTTTTATTTCAATCTTCCCCTCTGAGAGGTGAAGATTGGGCAAAGAGATTCAAGCTGATAAACATGCTTATAAAATCACGTTCAACAACAAACAATGAAAAAAATAACAGATTTAAAGATAGCAGTTGATGTAATCACACAGTAACCTAGTTTATCAGTTATAAGTAACACCTATTTACAAAAAACACTTAAAAGGTATAGTTGAGGATTTTCGCAATTTTTTTTTTCTTTTTTACAGTTTTGCTGCACTAGTGGCATATTTTTTCAACAGTAGGCTGACAGGAAAGTGGGCATGAGAGGGGGTGGGGGGTGTGATGTGGGAAAGGACCACATGTTGGATTCAAACCCGGGTCGGCCGCTTCAAAGATTAAGGCCTCCGTACAGGGGTCATGCGTGCTATCCGCTGCACCACCTGCACTCCATTTTTGTAAATTTTTGAAAAGACCCACCCTCTCCACTTAAAAAAAAGCACATGCCCAACCCTGTACCCGCTCCTGAGAAGGAACTCCTATTAAACGCATGTGAGAGCGTGCACAGGCCCATTTCTCCTCGTGCACGCTCTGTTTTAAAGTTACCTTTTGCATCGCTCATAAAAGCTTACTTTCCAAAAGATTTGCAATTTTTATACTATGTCAGACTCTCTACCAGTAAGTAAAAATGGGGACGAGCACGTAGGACGGCCTTACGTAAACATATCGCCAGAATGATTGACAATTAGGAGGACCACTTACTTTGATGATCCACCCGGAAAAAGAACTTCCTCCACTATACCTTTAAGTAATATCACTCTGAGCTACGGAAGCCAAGGTAGTGGATAAGTTTAAAAAAAAATAAACTGAATTTTTTTGTTTTCAAAAAACAAAAAAAAATCTATTAAATGATAAAATTGGTATATCGCATTCTTAAAATTGAAGTTACTAGATTGCTGTAACTGTATTGCTCGATATATATATAGAAATGACTGGATCGGCATCATTCAATCGGTATTCGATCGATATCAGAGCTGATATCGTAGTACTTTATCTGATCGGTGCGTCACTACCGTTTTAGGTACATCTGTCCTATTAAGAAGTCAACAGTCAATAAACAGCAGAGCCTCATTCCTTCAGTCTTCTAGCTCTGTTGAAAACAGCTCAGGTAAAACTTTCCTTCCTGTTGTCAGATGTCTGAAAGTCCTCTGCCTCATGTTTCCACTGGCAGCAAAATGTGCATCTGCAAAACCGTTACAAACTAATCAAGGTTTCAAGGACAGAACAGTTATGGACTACATCTTTTGGCATGTCCTCTGCAGGGTTTCATAGAATGCATCATGGCAGTCGTTGCATAACTTTGCCCTAGCTTTCAGTTTGGGGACGTGAAGAGAATTAGAACAACAGATCATAACAATGAAGAAGAAATAAACCTTAAGGACAGAGCAGTTATGGAACAGGCCAAAAACATCCTGAGTTTGGAAGGAATGAGGACTGAAGTGTCAGACTCTGAATTACTCTCCCAAACAAAGAAACCTTGATCTCCAGCCAAAGAGCTGTAGGACTCAGATATGTACACCACAATCAGAACAAATAAGTGCAGAAGCACAGAAAAGCAGAACTAATGAGGTTTCTAGGAATGTTAAAACTGTATGAGAGAGGTGGAACACTAGCCCAGAGTCTCTATAAGGGGAAAATGATCCTGTGAGTAATGTGCACAGACCAGACAGCCTGACCACTCACATCTAAACTATTTGGCTTGTGCTCCTTATATAGTCCTCATTTAGAAAAAGAGTGAGATGAAGCTTTACTGCAGCACCTTCCGAATATAAACTGCATACATTACATTTATTTATAAAGAATTAATTTGCTGACCCCAGGGGGGGAGCTAGAAGGGGGGCCAGGGGTGGCCATGGCCACCCTTAGCCAATCATTGGCCACCCCTACCACTTTATTCCCTCTAAAAGAGACAGTGGCAGCAGTAATACTCTGAAGGCGAATATTCAAACTTATTAAACATTTAAACTTTTCATATATTAACAACTACTTGACAACAGAAACACTGCGGTTAATTATGCACATCAATATAAAACATGAAAGATGATAGATACAGAATTAATGCTCATTTCAGAACAAAATTTTGAATTATTTGGGGTAAAGATAAAATTATGTACCTCTGCAAGTCATCTAGGAGTCTTCAGTGAAATCATAGATAGATAACGACTTTAATAATAACTTAAAAATTCATTAAATGTTGATATTAGTAGATTTAAATATCATTTTTTGCAGAATGATTATTGATTAAAGTAGGTAATGACAATGTAAAATATGTTCACCCCAGAACTCAAACCTGAAAGAATTTTATCCACTGAACCTTTTATTTACAAAGCATACATGCTTAAATAACTGTTAGCAAAGGCTGCAGGAAAGTATATTGTGTCTTTATTTAGAAAATATGCTGTGCTCGTTCCTGTTGGAAAAGTGTAGATTGACCCTTAGGTTCAGGTGCCTCAATGTACATTGGTTATTGACTGGCCACCCCTATTAGGATTTTCTGGCTACGCCTCTGGCTGACCCTACAATAAAAGGAATTATAGGAATCAGTTTCCCAGCAGAGGTAAATGTTGGATGTTTAAGAAGACAATGACACAAGTTTAAAGACCCTGATGGATAGCCACTCACTCCAAACCCACATGGAGAGAGATGATCAGAGTGGAATAAAGCAGCAGGATAAAGCAGGGATTGTTTGGAGGAACACATGGTTACAAATCTGTCTGTTCTTACCGAGGAGCTCTTTAGGAACATCTGATGGTTCTTCGCTCATTTTGCTGGATGTTAAAATCCCAAAGAGGGCCGAGAACTGAGTCAACACATGGAGAAGCGCGTAATGTGGAGGGGAATAATGAGGAGAGAAGTGTCAGGTGGCGGTGGTGCGGTTCTCCCGGTTACATGCTTCTCTCCTGCGCTCCTGTCCGGACAATGTATGCGCGCTTTGGAAGGCGCATCTCCCCGCGGTAAATCAAACGCTCTTGGTCCAGATGTCGTTTAAAGGATAAAAAAAAAAATCAGAGGAGGGGAAATGAAGGCTGAAGTGTTATTTAGTTCATGCAGAACACTAGAGCTCCGGGTGCATGAAAGGATCACCGCTGTGGTACATGTTTTTCCAGCCGTGGCCCTGCAGGAAAGCCGAGGATATTACAGTGCGATCCAATAGTAATGTAGGGAGCCCCTCCCAGCTCGGTGATGCCAAAGCTGGGAGCCGATGTGATGCCGGGGCGTAGTGGCGTGGCAGAAGGGGGCGGCGGCGATGGTGGAGACAGACTGTTTGGAATGAGCTGTGTGCGCAGGCAAATTCTGTCTAACGGTGACCCCTAGCGGCTTTTAAAGGGTACTACTGATAGAAAGCCAATGTATTTTATGACACTAAGCTAAACAGAAGGCTATCCTGTTTCTATTCACTGTGCAATTTTTATTTTATTTTATTTATTTGTTTTTTTTTTTTTTCTCACGGTCTCTTATATATGAAGTTTTTATTGACCAAACTGACTTTCCTAGGGGTTCATGTTTAAACATATATAAGACACCATTAATGCTTAATCATCCTGATGTTTTGTAAACATTTGGAATTGTTTTTTTTATGGATTATTTAACTGTTCTCTCTTTGTCTCTCGCTCTCATTTACTTTTTTTTTTATTTAATTTACAGATTTACAGTTTGACACACAAAAACAGAGACATCAATCACTTTTTTGTGAATATATCAAACAAAAAAATAGAAAAGCCATTGGCAAATAAATTGCATAAAATTCTTGTATCTTATATGCACCAATATAATTTAAAAATACAACAACAAAAAAAGAAAAAAGGATTTTGAAGCATGCAGTGTGCATATATGTGAATATTTGTAGATAACAGTGACATGTATATATATTTCGTTGTCATTACACTGTTACAAGTACAGAGCAACAAAAATGAACTCTCTGCATTTAACCAATCCCCTTGGGGAGCACTGGGCTGCCATTGTGCAGCGCCTGGGGAGCAGTGTGGGGTTAAAGGTCTTTTCTCATGGATCCAGAGTGGCAGTCTGTGGGAGTGGGGCTCTAACTCAAGACCTTTGAATTTCAAGCACATTGCCCCAACCACACCCCTAAAATGTGAAAAACTTTTGACAGCGCCCCTGGTTTAATCACTTGACATATTTTGACCACTTTTTTATTTGTCAGATGAACATTGTAATGGTCATATGGTCGGTAACCCCACACACAACCACCTTTTCACTTTAAATTTTACCACACAGTAGCATAAATATATTGGTTTGTTTGTTGATATTTTAACAATATTAGAATACATTAGTTCCAATTGTAGCGTGCACATTTGGTTAACTTTTTTATATTTAATTTTGTCAAATGCTTAACATCGTTTGTGCTTCCTTTTCTGCTGTTGTGGAGAGTACCTTCAGCTGGGAGAATGCAAAGGACTCTGGCTGGCACACTCATTTTCTGATTGGGTGATACCATCTGGAGTTCCACTATGGGGGAAGACCATGAAGCTCACATTTCAATATGCTGCACAATCTTTTCATTCCTTTGCATTTGTGATTTGCTCATTTTGTTAATTTGGTCAGTTATTAGTAATCAAAGTTTATTCCTTAAGCTAACTGTTTAGTTTTTTTGTTTTTTTTTTGTTAAATATGTGTAGATGTTGTCCCTACCTTTTCCTCGGTGTGCCACTCTGGTCTGATCAACCAGCATTTAAGTTCCCTTTGTTTGCTGTGTTTCGGGTCAGTTTTGTTTGTGCAGTTAGTTTGATGTTTTGTTATGTTTAACCTTTCTTTTTTTGCTTTAAGTTAGTCTCTTCATTTGACCTCTTTTATGGGCCCTGTCATTATTGTTCGGATTCTTGTTACTGTGGGGAAATGAAACCCATTTTCTTGATAATCACCAATGTGTCCTCATGCTTTCCCAGGTCGGTCCCTCTCAAACATGAAAATACTTTGAACTGATGAATTAATGCAGATGATGCTAAGGCACACACCTTATCTAAGATGCACAACGCGGTTAAAGTGTAATTCCGTAGTGGCGTAAGTGGACCATTATACAATTAATTCAATCATTAATGAGGAAATAAAACTAGTCTCTCCCTATATGGAAAAAGCAACTTCCTCCCTACAAATATGCTATGGGAGGGAAATTTAGGTTTGTGATAGCGACTTCAAAACATTGACTTTTTTTTCCCCTTAAACCACTTAGTGATAATTGTGAGCTATTTGAACCTACAGTATGTATGTTCCTTCTTAGTAAAGTGTTTAGGTGTCTTGGACTTTAAATTCCTTTCTGGATTTGCCAGGAAGCCAATGAAGGGAAGTTAGGATATGAAAGATATGATCTATCTTTTAATTTTTGTGTAAGCACTTTAAAAATTGGATCTGTAAAGCATTTTGACAAAGATAATTCGGCACAAAGGAATTTTTGAGAAGAAAAAAAAAGGTCAGCATATATTTTGTCTCATTCATAAAATTGTACTGTATGTGCTGGGTGCTTACTGCAGGTGGTTTCTTGTTTTTGTCTGATAATAAAAAGCTATGTTAGTGGGAAATGGATAAAAAGGTTACATCTGATAAAGCATGGCTTCTTCCCATGCTCTTTCAATGCTTTGATTACCACTAAAATAAAAAGAGGAAGTGAATAAAACTGTTGGGATCCGGAGGCTTGCCCACCAGAGGGCGCCGAGGATCCCTTTCTGAGGGCTTGTGCTCACCTGCAACACCTGTCTTCCATCTGCTCATCAAGAAGACTCCTACATAAGGAGGAGGAGACTGACACTCCAGCGCCAGAGTGTTTGCCAGTAATGACCCTGACTCGCCTGAAAACCAGAAAAACTCTGGAGAGACAAACCACGGCTTGGAATCTGCCTGCCTGCACTAAGTCTGAGTCTCTGCCTCTGCCCATGCCTGTATTCTGCCTGCCAGCATTCAGTCTCAGTCTCTGCCTCAGACCTCAGACCTCAGCCTGCCGAAAAGCCTCTGGACTCTCAAGTTTCTCCCCCTGCAGATCTGAATCCCTTCATCTAGCCAGAAACCCGCCTGCTTGCACTCAGCCTCAGTCTCTGCTTCAGCCCTCAGCCTGCCGAAAAGCCTCTGGACTCTGAAGGTTCCCCCTCTGCAGATCTGAATCCCTTCTCTCAGCCAGAAACCTGCCTGCCAGCATTCTGTCTCGGTCTCAGCCTAGCACTCAGTCCGCAGCCCACTGCCTGCAGATAAGCCTATGGACTCACAGGGTTCCCACCCCCTGCAGATCAGCATCCCCATCTCTACAGTTAAGTTCCTCCTGTGACCAGGCCGCTGAACCCAGAACCCTTGTATTTTCTCCATTGTACATATTTAAATAAATTGCTTAACTTTCCCCCAGTTTTCAGTGAGTGTTTCTGCATTTTAGGTTAGACACCTAAACCCCATCATGACAAAAAATAAAATTCTCTCTTACATACAGACTCTCATGTGATCTGTGGGATGAAATACCAGAAATTAAGATTATCAACATTGATTTTCTCAGGTGTTCAAATACTTATTTTCAGCTGCATCATATAAATAAATAGTTAAAAATGAAACATTGTGATTTCGGGATTTTCTTTTTAGATTATGTCCCTCAAAGTGGACCTGCAACTACAATGACAATTTCAGACCTCTTTCAAAGTGGGATAACTAGGAAAAAATTTATTTCCACTTCAGATTGAAACAAAGAAAGTGTTAATAAGAACAGTTCTTTTTCACAAATGGGTTAAATTATGTGTATGAAAAGTCCAAAGCAAGGCTTCTTACAAAGAAGATATACACAGTCTATATATATATATATATATATA